AGCGCGGCAGCCATGTAAATTTAAATGAAGCGGTGATTATTTAAATCGCCGCTTCATTTTCCTATGCCTGGTAGCCTAATCTACATGCCTCTGGCGACAGAGGCATGTAGTCTAGATGTAGCCTAAGACAACCAATGTCTGCAGCATATGTATGAAATATATCTGTTGGAAACATTTAACACAAACTTGACTTTCACCACACCCACACCCAAATATTTCCATCAGTAATCAAAATATATGAACAAAGGAAATTGTCAACCTCATATATCAAAGTACACAAAATAAATATTCTTCAAGAAAACTCAGATCTCAAGCAACAGTGTGTAAGGAGGGTTACAAAGTTTAAATTTTTGAATGTCAACATCTAGTGTCAAGGTCATTAAATAATTATCTGACCCCATGCTTTTGTCTATACTCAAAGAATGACAGAAGACACTTGATATGGATTTTAATCAGCCACAACTTTATTATTAGGTGTCTGGCAGTACCCAGCAGATAAAAGCATACAGTGCAGGCAACTCCATGATCATTCAAATAACTGCCCAGGGTTTTGTTTTCCATCCAGGTCCTCCAGCTAATCCATTGCTGGGACCTTACCAGCATGAGAGAGTTACAGTGGGCTTTATTAAGAAAGGGGAGTTGCTTCCCTGCCATGTCATTTTTAGGAGCTCCAACACTCTTACCTTCCGCACTGTTTTGTTCTTTTTAACAAAACCTCCTTTTTAATTCCTTTACCTCCCATTTATCTGGTCACTGGATGCCTTCCCTAGAGAGTATCTGCACTGGATACTTACCCCACAATTACATAATGAGTCAAGACATATAGCGTTACAAAGCTTCTAATTCCACCTCTGTGGATTCTGTGCTTCTGGGTAGCTGTAGGAAAAATAATCTCTCCCCCTGTCCGGGGAACATAGCAACTCCTGTTCTAATTGTTCACCTCAGTGGCTCACTTCAACTCTCAGTCTAACCCCTTTACTTCAGGGGCAAGCTGTAGCGTGATTTAGCCACTCTCATCAGCAGCACAGCAAGGGGAAAGGAAAATGGAAAAAAAAAATCTCTTAGTCTCTGGTGGCTCTCTGGACATGGAGGCAACCAGACACGATTTCTTAGCTCAGCCTCTCCCCTTCTAGCAGGGATTTTTTTTGTACTTTTGGGGCCTCAAGAGGCTGCTTCCTGAGAAGAGCTCTACCTGACCCTTGCCTCTGCACCTGCAGGATTCTGACAACATCTGTAGTACTTCTGCATTTTAGCAGCACTCACTCGTCCCACAGCTCCCAGCACACTACTGAAGTGACTGAAGGGGAGGCTTTTAACCAGTTCTAGCTCCAGGTGTCCCAATCAACTTGTCTCCATTAGTTAATGAAGGTTCTTGATTGCCTCCAAGTATCTTAGTTAACCAGGAGTAGATCTTGTTTGGTTACCAGGGAAACAAGGACTTGTTTTATTGCTTTATGCTACTTTCTTGTAGCCATCTGGCCTGACCCCGTCACAATAGCCTACCCTCTTTTCTTGCCTTTATGAAAAAGGAGGGGTCAGACCAATACCCACAGCAGGTCCTACCAAAATGAGGGATGTTACTAGTGACCAGTTAAACAGTTCCCCAGTAAGCATCACCATTAATGGGTGATGCTTACCAGGTAACGGTTAACTGGTACACAGGAGCAGGGCCCTGCACACGTGGATGGGGGTGGGGCCAGGAGCCAGTGGCAGCCCCCATGCAGGGACCAGGAGCAGCCAGGCTGGAGTGGTCTCCCCTACCCACCCTCTTTAATCAGTTAAATACAGTGCCAGCACTACATTTAACCATTTAAATGGAATTTTACATCCCTAACCAAAATCTAATATTTTGCTGCCTCAAAAGGAAAGAGCAGGCATGCTACCTTGCCTGCCCTTGGAAAAAGGGTTTCTCATGTCCACCCTTTTCAAGCCTGCCACACTTCTGTTCCCAGGGGAAGACTGTCATGCTGATTCACATTACCCTTTTTGCAGCAATTTCTGATCTCATTTTGCACACCACCACCCATACAGCACTGCTATCTTTCTTCTGGCAAGACTGGACAATTTCCCTTCTGCATAAGGGCCAACGCAGTTGTTGCTGGACCATATCATAAACTTCTTACAAAACTGTGAAAATTGAAATAGATAAACCCAAAAAACTTAAGGATATTATCTATTAAAATTATCTAAGAAAAATGAATTATGCCCGGCCTATCAGTAGAGGATCGGAAAAGGCACAGCTAACAAGAGCAAATTATTTTGTTTTATGGGTGCTATAAATAGTTACTAAAACCATTGTGTACATTCATTTATAAATGTATTAACAGTCTAATGCATAGAAAAGGAAGACTGCTTTGAAAACATGCTTCATAATCTGATGGCCCAAACCTGAGAGGCACTGGGTATGCACAACTGTGGAGGGTTACCCAAGTATAGGTATTTACTTTGTACAGATACCAGTAATCCTATGTATAGCTCTACAAAACCAGCATACCCTATCATAGTTAAAAAAAAATGCATTATTATTCAATTTCACTCATATTACTTCCAAAAAAAATTCATTAGAATTGACCTAACCCAGGGAGAAGGGTTGTTCACAGTATCACATTCCAGTTCCAAAACTTGGGGACAGATTCTCAAATGAGATCTAGCTCCTTTACACCACTCAGCAATAAAAAGGGTCCAGAATCTGGCTACCAAAGTGTCAGGCTGACTGCCGGTTACCCCATACCTTATCGCAGACGGTTCGGCTAGAGACAGCGGTTAGCTAGTTTTAACTGGTGATGAGCTCGCCCCAGGCCTCCTTAGTTGCATCAACAAGTTGTGATATAATTAGGCCCAAAGACATTTGGTATGAGAACTAGATAGCGGTGGCGTTTCCTGCTAGAATCTGCTTGTGGATGTTTACACCCCTAAGAAAGGAATAATTATAAAATGGCCGAAAGGCACTGATTGGCGAACAGTCTCACCTGTGGACCTAGACCATGTGGGTGCCCAGGAACTCCCCACACTGGAGC